GACAGTTTTTCTTTTTGGTGAGTCTTATATATATTTCTTGTTGTTATTTTTGATTTCTCTTCATATTGTATATTACAATCCTCAGCTTATTATTACTATTGCTTTTTCGTATCATGGCACTTGATAATTCGTTAAGCCTTTCATCTAAATCTATTTCCGTGGGTGCCATCTCTGTACCTTTACCCATTTTTAATCCACGAAAGGCTGAACTCTGGTTTGCTCGTTTGGAAAGCTTTTTTGTAGCAAACAAAATCACAAACCAGAGTACGAAATTTAGTTATGCAAATTCACTGCTGCCAGATGACGTCATTGAACAAGTGCCGGATGTCATTTTTAAGCCGGATCCTGACTCACCATTCGATTGTCTAAAAAGAGAGGTCATTCGTGTCACATCTCTCACCGACCAACAGACAATTGATCAACTTTTAGCCAACGTGGAGCTAGGTGACAATACACCGTCACAGTTAAAACGCCACATGACAAACTTATTAGGAAATCGTACAGTAGACAAACGTCTACTATATCAATTGTGGCTCAGACGTCTCCCTCAAAACATTCAACAGATACTAGCAGTTGGAGACGAAGACGTTGATTTTGATAGACTAGCAGACATAGCCGACAGAATTTACGAACGGTCCAAAACTCACCTTGTATCTCAAATCCAATCAAGCTCAGCTGACGAGATCGCCGAGTTACGACGATCAGTTGATACCCTTACGAAACAGATAGCTCAGATACAATTATTGAATGCCTCCCACAGCAAGCGTAGAGGAACATCCACAAGCCGTAGACGACGTAGTCCAAGCACTACTAGACACAACATTTGCTGGTACCATAGAACATATGGCAAACAAGCTAGAAAATGTACTCCGCCTTGTAACTTTGCAAGCACACAGAAAAAGGAACGTCAAGACCGTAGGTTAATGACGACTGCACTCACTGACCACAACCTTCAAGACAGTCGTCTATTATATGTTACAGACAAAAGAACCGGCACACAGTTTTTAGTCGACACTGGGGCAGAGGTTAGTGTAGTACCACCTACTGCACTCGAGAAAAACACACCTGACCCCAAACTAAAACTACAAGCAGCAAACAGGTCTGACATCAAGACGTACGGCAAAAGGCGGTTGCAATTAAATTTCGGTCCTAAATCTAATTTTTCCTGGAGTTTCATCATAGCGGACGTCCTCGTTCCTATAATCGGCATTGATTTTCTGCAATTCCACAAAATACTGGTAGATGTCAGAAATAGGAAACTTGTCCTTGCCGAACAGAGTAAGGAAATTAGAGGAATTATATCAAATGAGACTTCCATACATTTATTAGTTAAACCTCATCATGAGAACGACAAATACGTCAATTTACTTAATCAGTTTCCAGATTTATTACGACCGAGTTTCAAACACGACAAACCGACGCATACCGTCGTACACCACATAAAGACAGAGGGTCCACCTGTGTTCGCACGTCCAAGACGCCTTGATCCCTCTCGTCTGGCTATCGCAAAGAACGAATTCAACAAAATGATTGAGTTGGGCATCATACGCCCCTCCGATAGTCCGTGGGCATCACCGCTTCATATGGTACCTAAGAAAAACTCTTCCGAAGTTAGACCGTGCGGTGACTATAGAGCTCTCAACAGCCGGACCATACCAGATAGATATCCTCTCCCACATCTGCATGACTTCACTCATAGCCTGTCTGACGTGTCGATCTTTTCAAAAATTGATCTCGTCCGTGCTTACCATCACATTCCAATTCATCCAGACGATGTTCCTAAAACAGCCATTACTACCCCCTTTGGACTATACGAATTCGTCCGCATGCCTTTCGGATTAAGGAATGCTGCACAAAGTTTCCAGCGTTTTATTGACCAAGTGGTACGGGGCTTACCGTTTGTGTATGCTTACATAGATGACCTACTTATAGCAAGCAAAGATGAAAATGAACATCTAACTCATCTGAAAATGCTTTTTGAGAAGCTAAACGAGTATGGGTTAGCGGTCAATCCTGACAAATGTGAGTTCGGAAAACAATCCCTCACCTTTTTAGGTCACGTACTTGATAAGCAAGGCATTAAACCAGTTCCTGAGGAAACACAAGCTATCAAAAATTATCCTTTGCCTGATTCATTCAAGAAACTACGACGTTTCCTTGGGATGATAAACTTTTACAGACGCTTTATCCCTAAATGTGCAGACATAGCAAAACCACTAACTGATTTATTAAGGGGACGAGCTAAATCATTAGCAATGACACCGCAAGCAATTCAAGCATTTGATCAGTTGAAAAGCGCTTTAAGCACAGAGGCATTACTCGCACGACGAAAGGTTGATGCACCTTTAGCAATAATGACCGACGCTTCTAACGTAGCAGTAGGTGCTGTACTTCAGCAACGTGTCAATGAACAATGGCAACCCCTTGCATTTTTCTCAAAAAAGCTAAACGCAACGCAAACGAAATATAGCACATTCGGTAGAGAACTGTTGGCTATCTACTTAGCTATCAAACACTTTCGCTACATGTTAGAAGGCAATTCTTTCACGATATATACTGATCACAAACCCCTAACTAAGTCCTTGATGCACAATCATGATAAATATAGTCCGCGCGAAATTCGTCAACTAGAATTCATTTCACAATTTGCAGCTGATATACGCTATATTAAAGGCAATGCAAATGAGGCAGCAGATGCACTATCGAGATTAAATATCAATACCTTCTCGATCCCTGATATAGACTATCAAGAAATGGCAAAGCATCAAAAGCTTGATACGGAGCTACAAAAGCTTTTGCAGTCTAAGGAAACGAAATTATTATTCCAAAACATCCCCATAAACAACAAGGACACCTTAACTTGTGATACCTCAACAGGTAAAACTCGCCCTTTTGTACCTTTCGGTATGAGACGAAATATTTTCGAGAAATTACACAATATATCTCATCCAGGTATAAAAGCCACTGTAAAGCTTGTCACAGATAGATTTGTATGGCCAAAAATAAACAAAGACGTAAGAAAATGGTCACGGGAATGCGTCCAATGCCAAAAGTCAAAAGTACATAGGCACATCATATCTCCTACAGGAATTTTTCCCGCTGCTAGCGCTAGGTTCGACCATATTCATATCGACATTATTGGACCGTTACCGATTTCTAATGGTTACACGCATATATTAACATGTATAGATAGATATACGAGATGGCCCATAGCTGTTCCGTTAAAAGACACGTCAGCATCAACAGTGGCGAAGAAGCTGGTGAAACACTGGATTACAAACTTCGGTGTCCCTACAACAATTACGACCGACCGTGGAACGCAATTCGAAAGCAAACTATTTCAGCAACTTACAGATACTTCCGGTATAAAGAGAATTAGAACCACTGCTTATCATCCGTCTGCTAATGGAATGATAGAAAGATTCCATAGACAGTTAAAAGCCTCTTTGACGGCCGCACGAGGAGATTACAAATGGGATATCAAGCTTCCTTTGATACTATTAGGCATTCGCTCAACCATCAAACAAGACCTCGGTTGTTGTGCTGCTGAGTTGGTTTATGGAACAACATTACGTTTGCCTGGTGAATTTTTTGACCGTGCAACAGATATTCCAGCAGATATAACCAACTACGTACAACAATTAAAACAGCAGATGGAATCCATTAGGTCCGTTAAACCACGAACCCAAAAGGTGAAATCATTCGTACCCAACGAACTAGACAAATACTCACATGTATTCGTGAGAAATGATAGAGTACGACAGCCGTTACAGACTCCTTACGACGGCCCTTTTAAAATCATCCGAAAGGACACTAAAACGGTTACAGTGGAAAGAGCAGGTAAACATGATACAGTTAGCATCGATAGAGTAAAACCAGCATTTTTAGAGAACACTGAAAAACAGATAACTGTAAAACCGTCTAAACCTGCAGCAGAGCAAGCACCATTCAAACTACCTGCAACAAGCAACACTTCAAATCAAAATTCAGCAGCAGCACAAACTACAACAAGATCAGGAAGAAGAGTACATTGGCCAGATAGGTATGTAGCAACCACCATATTTATCTAGACCAAATCCTGAGACTACTCTTATAACACATAGAAATCCTACTTTATTTTGATTACTATTTTTTTTTATTGGCCCCACGGATCATCATTATGCTTACATTTTAACTTTATACAATTCATTAATGTTAAATATACAATTGTATATACGATATGAAACGTTTCAACACACAAGCTGTTATTACAATTTTACGCTTACTCATCATATTGAGTTGTACTTTTATTTTAAAAACAGTTCCGTTCTTTATCTCTTTGTCGAACATAGATGTTAATCCAATTTTTTTTTGGTACATAAAAACATCAATGTTCTGGATGGGAGCTTATGTGGCAAGCCCATTTGGCCACTGTATCATCTGTCTATTCATTGTAACTTAGACTCTTAATTCACTATGTTAATTTCGGTGTGTTTGATCGAATGCGTGTCTGTACATTAACTTTTAAACTATTTTCCTATTGGTTTCAACGTGCAGATAATCGATAATTTATCTACACCCGATTAACCCTCAAATATATATGGATTTTTAACAAACTCACTCACTCTCTCTGTTCCCATCGTGTGCTTGCTCACAATACGCTTGTGGATTATCATTATTCATTAATAATAAACTATCTCCATAACTGGTGTTCAGGCTTCTTAATAATCTCGAGTAAATCCATAATTCTACTAGGAGATTAAGCCTACCTTAAATACTCAGTTACGGAATATTATAATTTGGAGTCAGATATTAAGGACATTACCCTTAACATATTGGTTAGCTGCCGCCTCAACAATATACCGATTATTTACGTACATAGCCTAGTAAGTCCTAAAATTCACTACCAGGAATATCGTAAGTACCATTTAATTAAGCACTTTTAATTATTTTAATAGACCCAACACTTCTCTTTTTTCACTTTCATAGCTTATTTTATGCATGTTTTTTGATTTTTGAAGAAATCTGAACAATTTAAGGAAACTGAGAGTGAAAGACAATCTTCTTCAACGTTTACCACCTGAAATCGGTAAGTACTAAATTTATGTCAACTGAAAAATGTTATCAACGTAAACTAAAAGTAATGTGAGTAATAATGGTAAAAATAAGAGTGCTTTTTTGAGGGCTAACACCTCCTGAATATTGAAGCCGAAAATATCGTTTGAATGGTAGTTATCTCCATAAATTCGTCAGCCATATTATTTTTAATAGATTTCGGCAAACCGAAGGCTTACAAATGATGCAGAAACATGTACACTACTTATAAATTATTAAGTAGTTAAAGTATAACTTGAGGATTGGAAGCGCATGAGAATCTGTATGTTGTGTAGTGTTATTTCACATTCGATACCACTTATTTATTTTCCACATATTTTGTTCTAATCACTTTTTCAGGCAAACTGCAAAATTTAACACATTTGTATCTATCAAATAACAAGCCACTGGATTTGCTTCCTATTGAATTAGGAATGCTGCCTTCTCTGCGATTTCTGGGTATTGATGGTTGTAGTCTCAAACAGATGCCTATTGATATAACAAAAAATGGATCAGCCTCCGTCATTAAGGTGGGTAATTCTCTATTGAATTCATTAACTCTAGTGGTTGCTTTTTACTTTTTTCACGTTGTTAATCACTTTTTTTCTACAGATTAGATATTTTATGTTTGAAAAAATTGTTTATGATAAATCTAAAGCTGGTAAGCAATTGTTACATTCATCGTTACTCGTTGTCAGATGATACAAACTTTTACTTGAGATGAATCTTTTGTTGTTTAGTTTTTTTATAAAATATTACTCAATTTGTTTTTGTGTTAAGTATTTCCAGTGTAATAACTTACAATAAAATACCTCGAGCGTGAATAAACACTGAAAGAAAAGGCAAAATTTGTTTATGATTTTTCAGAATCATTGGTCTATAATGTTTTTTTTTTCAACATCAGGAAGTTGCAGAATCTACTAATTACTTAAAGTTCTCATAATGAACTGATGATATCGAATAAAAATTTCCCATTTTTCGACCAATTTTTGAGTTCTTATACGTCTCATAGCCTTTAGAAGTGACATTTTGGAAGTTTTGAAAATTCACTGTGCAATCTCTCACTAATATCAAAAGCTGATTTGTACACGTAAGATACACTTGTTCTGATGCTCCGAATCATACTTTATACAAAACATGGTTTTTTGTGCCTCTTTCATTGACTTTTATGGACAAGTTACAAATCAGTCAGAACTAATAACATGGAGTGAATTAGTTAAATAGGTTAAGCACTTTGCTTGTCATGGAAATCTCATCAGTCTTAACGGATTTGTATCTAATAAAGTCTCGGTAGAGATTCAAAAAGATCAGTCAGTCTTTCATAAGCTTCTTTACTCACGCTATAGGCAAGATGCCCGTTTACTAACTAAAAACAGCGTATATTGGTCAATAATTCCCACTATATTAATTTTTGTTTGTGAAACACAGTCCTTGGAAGTAGAAGAGATGCTTACAGTGCAAGCTTTTTTATCATAGATGTATTTGAGGCATTTTTCGCTTTTCGTCTAACGATCGAGTTAGTAGTGTTGAAGCTATACGTCAGGAACTTGACGTAGATGATTCGTCGACTGATAAAGTTATTGTAACAACTTATATGTTGTTGTAGACTGACATTATTTATCCAAACTATCAGACAGACTTAACTCAGACAGCATGTGACTATTAGGTCATTTTAACCATTCTAATAACCCTTTTGTTTCCTTAACGTTGTGATTATCAGCACACATACCTTTTGTATTCCTGTTCTTGTAATTCAACGCCTATAAAGACGGACTTGTGTGTATATCTGTACAAATATTATTTTATCCAGTGCCAGTCTCTTTGTTGTGCTATCAGTTTTCTTTGTTGAGTTGTAATAACATTTCTTTATATTTTGAGTAGGCACATGTGCCTGACAAAATGAACGTATAAAATATAAATATCCGCAGCACTCGTATTTGATGTTTTATATCCACTTTGATATTGACGGGATTTTTCGTCGGAACATGTATAGTGAAAGTTAGATACATATTTCGTCTACATCATTAATGATTCCATGAATTCAGACAATGGGCATTAAGTTATGAATCCTTTCTGTTGAGGTTGGTACGACATAGGTCACCACCATCTACCTCGACAGTTGCTGTTTTCTGGTTTAGGAGTTAGTCAGAAAAAAGCTAGGACCAGTTAGTGCAGGATAAGGCACTAGTTCATGAAGTCATTGACTGTCGGTCTGAGCCATGTTGGTAGATGAAGAGTATCTTATTGGGATCCATGCGATAACGACTATAAATATCTAAAGACTTTAAGTGACATTGCTCATGATCGTTCAAAACGGCGGAGATGTATTCCTTCTTCTTATTTTCCTCTCAGTCCTGAATTCCAGTATTTAGTAATGCATACTTTTCCATTATGTCTTTTCGAACCAGATTTCTTAATATTCACCCTTTCGCATTGTTATTTTTACTGTATTTTTTCGGTCTATTTCCATACTTCTTATTAATTTCATCTTACTGTGCTAATGTGATGTGGTAACTTGGGCCAATACGGATCTGTCCCAGTCTCTGCGTTGATAATTACTGATTGACCAATTTAAGCTAACATGCTGTATGTATGGTTTTGATAACAGACTAATAATAATAAAAGTAAACCAGTATTCTTTGTAGGTTGTTAAGTATCGAGTATCCGTATATTTTTGTGTTTCACTCTTAACGACAAATGTAGTAACAAACATCACATAAATCACGCTTTCTTCATTCGAAAATTCAAAAACGTTTTATATCTTTTACTTGGAGAAATATTCGGTTGTTGAACTGTTTAGTTTTCATTTTCCATTAATAAACTTGTAAATAACTGATCTTTATATCAATTTCTTTTAAATGAACTGGTTGATATTTGTTCTATTAACGTGATAAATAAATATATTAACTTTCTAAAATAATTATTTTATCAACAAATATCAATCATTGATGTGGAACTGTAGTGATTCACGTGAGTTTTTTTTAACTTTTGGACAGACAAATTATGATCATTTTGGGTTGTCATTTACACATATATTTTTGTCAACTATTCACTTGTAATTTCGATGATCTTTATATGTGGCTATGTCAACTGACCATGTAATTTATTCGTTATCTGACTTTAGTATCCTTTTAACTGTTTAGCAATTAATTCTGATTCATATTTATTACAATCGATTGCGTGATGAAACGTACATATCCGAAACACTCGTTTTGGTCTTTGATATACCGTTGATCCAAACGTTTAAAGTCTGTAGTGGTTGGTACTATGTCAAGTCCACATAGGCTATTCCAGCTTTTGGATAGATCAATCTATTCATTCTTCTCAAGTCACATTTTGACCTTATCAATTATTCGCTTGTTAGCTCTAACTGTTTTTATATAATCGTATGTGTGTTAATTGCTAGCTCTATTCGTTACATGTCTGAAACTTATTTTTGTCTGAATATAAATGTTGAGTCATACCTGATCAAATTGAGTTGGCTCACTCGTCTTTCTGATGCTCATCACTTTGTTTCTCTAGTTGTTTGTCCGGATAAACATTTGTTTGAAATATACGTATTCTAATATTTAGCTTATTTAATTCCATTATTCCTTAACGCGATTTAAGTCGATAACTATGTACTAGAGTAGCCGCGATGTATATTTGGATAACAATCATATATATATATATATATATATATATATATATATATATGATTGTCGTCCAACCATAACTGATTCAAATGGTGACGTAAAAATCTCCATGATAAATAATATCGCAGTGTTTTGTTTCTGTGCTTGTATTTTTTTCCAGAATTCTGCTATATTCATATTTATTTTATAATAATCTGTCACAGTACTTTATATTTTATCATTTGTTTTTGTACAATAACTCTTATTCTTTAAAACTAGTTTATTCATACTTGATCGGATACACATCGTATTTACATTTGTAATAATTGAATTCATGGGTCAATTGAAGCTAGACCACCATAGGAAACCTGGGAGCACTGGACGGCCGTTTCATTCTACTACTGAACTCCTCAGCAGTGCGCATCCACGGCTCCGGCTTGCAAAATCCGATCCCAGGACCTATCAGTCTCGCGTGTGCATACGCTCAGCATTTAGACCACTGAACCGGCATCCAACAGTGTTAGTGTCTAACTTCAACCAATCCACGAAATCTCACCACCGTCCACCATTGTCTTAAGTGAGTTACTATCTCACAACAGACCTGGTTGAACTCCTTTGGTTGATAAGTCTTGCGGATTGAACGCTATATTCGTCTCCTAAGCTACTTTTTAACCCCCCAGCTAGAAATATACAGCGACCTGAGCACGAGAGAATACTCAAAGTATGCGAGAAGTAGTTTACTCCAAGGTTCATTTTAATACAGAAAATACAGGGTTTTTATAATATTTTAAATGTGCTTGGGTTGCTAGAAGATTATGGAAATGCTAGTAAACATAGTACCAGTGTAGCAGCCAACCAATCAGAGCCTCTGCATGTGACGTTTCTCTTCCTTGATATTTTTGGTTAAGACTTCAAGTGAACGCTGATTGGATGAAACGCTTCTTAGTATTTCCTGATGCTTTCTTGTCTTTTGCAAGCGATTTTCTGGATCTCACTAGAACTCCAGGAAATAATTCTTGGAGATTTATGACTTATTAGATTTACATTTGTTGATACATTCCTTGTGAATAATTACGTTATTCAACTAAATTTTTAACATTTTTTTTACTCAACATTAGATTAATAATAAACAAAATTTTCTTGTTTGTTTTTTTTTTTTTTAAATAATTTCATTTAGTATTTACGTGATCTATTGTGTATTCATAGCCGAATTTGTCAAAATTCTATTACATAATGACCTTAATTATCAACGAATACCAGCAATCCATAAGTATGTTAGTAATTCATTTATTCCATTGTAAATGTACTTTGTTTCCGTAATTTAATTTTTTGAATTATTCCATAAAATTATTATTTTTTCCGGATCAATAATGAAGAGATGAGTATTTTCATTTTTGAATGAATAAAATGTTTTTTTTAAAAAAAAAATTAGAATCAATCATTTTGTCTAAAAGGAAAATTAATCTTCAGTAATATATTATATGTTTTTATTATTATTATTATTATTCATGATTTAGTTGTCATAGTGATTTTACTAAAGATAATTTGAAATGTTTTTCTTTCGTTTTCATTTTTAATGACAGTTGTATAAATTATTGATAGTTATATCAGTAGTTTCTTATTATTTCTTACAATTATTCGTGTAATCATATGATTATTTCATTGAAGAAATATCTTTACTTTTATAACTTTTTTTGCTCTCTAAGTCCTATAGATTAATTGTTTATTTTCATGCATTCCTTTCATCAATTTATGATATGTGTTTTTTGATTGTTGTTATTTCCAACTTTTGTTTTCATTAAAATCTAGTGAAATGTGTCCAGGAGTTAGTAGAATTTCAGTTTTTCTTTTCGTTGTTGCTTGTTATTGATTCGATTCATTCCATAAATATAACAAGTGATGGAGTTGATTTTTTTGTTGTTGAAAAAACCACTGTATATATGTCATTCAGGAGACATTACTTGATGATATATTAAGTAATACCACAAATATTATAAAGGGCTTTGTTTTGGGTGGATGATTTATTCTTTGTATTATTAAGTCATACTGTAGTAAAATGATTGTTCAGACCAAGTAGGGAGTTAAACATGAATAGCATCATGCTGTTTCTCACGAAAGTGTTTATCAATCAGAGAAACCATAGATCTGATAACTTTTTAATCTAGATTATTTGATGTACATAAATGAATATTGAGTTCGGAAACAGTTAATTATGTTGTAAACTGTAGACATATTATGAAATATATTTACAGGCGTATTTTATCTACAATTAAGATTGATTGAAAATAGGGTAATATAATGATTATCATATATCACGTAAACAATTATTAGTTCATCTGATCAATATGTGCTACCAATCATTCTTTTTGAGGTTTATTGAATTTCAGACATAGACATTATCCTCATAACAAGAATTGTCACGACAGTGAGTTCAGTTAAATATCCTTAGCATAATCATCGTAATAACGGCTGTTACTTATAAGTAGATAGTTGATTTTTAGGAATAATTTTAGCTCTTAAATTGAAGACTTCATTATAGATTGAATTATTAATATCTTGGATACATGAGGAATGAAAAAATATAGTTTTCATATTTGTCTACAGTTGAGAAAACTACGGCTGTTTCTTTGATTAAATTAAACTTACAAAATAATTTTAAGTTAAATCTATATACAACAAAAATGTAATCATTACCTAACATTCAAATCACTTATCAATACTCATTTAATTACTAGGATGATATTTTTCACTACAAACAATTTCATAATAAATAAAACTTCAAACGACCAATTTCTTGCAGCTTCGAGATCCACCAATTAAACTACAAGAAATTCTTTCTTTTTAAAACAAGAATTTACATTTCATCACTAAACAAAATGGTAGAGCCAACAAAACAATTTAATTTTTAATAGATTTCATTGGAAAATGTTTTTCAGAATACTCAAACCTTTTAATAAATAATAACTTTAGTCTACATTTGAACGAATAGTTTCACAATATTTGGGCGCCCAGTTAATGTGAGTCATTAAAGAGGAAGAATGTATTTGTAAAATCTCAGGGAAAGAATTTGAAGTAAATCCAACGTTTCGCCTGGCAATCTCGTCCAAGCTTTTCCTTGATGTCTCAAACTTTTAGTTTTTAGTGAATAATTGTTATCGTTTCGAAATATTTCTTAATATGTACATAGTTGACATCATAAATCTATTTCTAATCTTTTAATCTCATGGTAGAATAATAAAAAAAGAACGAATCGCTCATTATCTTATGAATCTCATGTTTTCACAGCTGTTTTTGATTCAATGAAATTCAATTGATACAGATTAGAAATCTATTTCAGCTAAAAAAAAACAAATTTGCTATTATTTATCTTAATTATACAAGCATATCGAATGATGGACAATTATCTCATGAAGAATAAACGCTTTAATTTTTTAAATGTCCCATTAACTTTGTATGGTCCCTAAAATATCATAGCTTGTTTGTTAACAGAAATTCAAGATCTCTAACGTAAAATCTAGAAGATATCTAAAGAAGGAAATCTCTTTTTTCCCCGGTTGGAGACGAACCAACCGTTAATCATCTAATGTTTAAAAGTTGTTAGTATAATCTAGTTAGTAAAATGTTTTCAATGGAAACATTTACGGTGGCTTATAAAGTAATTATAGATAATCTTTGTGAATTGTTTCGTTTAGTTTTTAAATAAAAAATAATACATTTTCATTTGAATAATGACTTTTCTTCGAAAAACATTTTTCCTACTTACAACTATACCGTAATGTATAATCCCTACAACGTTCAGATGGTTGATTTTAAATAACCATTTCTTAATCGACAGTATTTTAAGAAAACTTTTAATAAACACGTTTGATTGAGAAGTTTACGAATTCTTGGTATAAAGATACAAAAGTCAGCATTAAGTAACGAAACTTCACATCAGGAATAATAAACACTTTTCAGCCGAAAAATACTAAGAACCACTGTTAATAACAATAAATAATTTTATTTAAAAAGCTTCAAGAATGTTCAGTGACTAGAAATAGTCTTAAACTGAATCAAAACTTCAAGTGTATTTGTCAATCCCGATTCACTCATACGCCTTGATATACCCATTTAATTTAGGTTGCATGTCAAATTGCCTGTATTCCGCTTCAAAAATATGTTGGTACTGGTATGAATTATCTGTTGAGATAATTTGCTTCACCGTTTTCAGTATATTGTTAATGGTCAAAATGTTTTCTTTGAAAGAAAAGCGATAATAAATGCTTCTATAGACAAAGGTTTTAAGTACGTTGATAAGACTAGATTTTTGTCGTAGTCCATTCAAGGATAGGATTATTGAATAAGACATATTTTCGGTATGGTTTAAATACTGGACATGATTTTCAAAACGTATCGAGAAAAGATTTCAATTTTAATTTATGAAGTAACTACCCAAATGCTTATCAGATATTGTTTAATTAAAGTATTTTTTATAGTCGTTCTCGATATTAAAATAAATTTTTCGGAAATATCAGTTTAGGGTTTCAAGTAGTATGTCCATTTTACCGGTTATTTGCAATACATACATCTTTTTCTCTACGCTAAACACTGTGTGACTACTTGGTGGAGCAGGTTATATGTCGAGTACTAGAAGAATATCAATTCATTGACTGAACAGTTAAATTATTTAATCGGGCAAAACGACTTCCATATTATACTACTATAAATATTATAAGTAGTAGAAATGGAATTGTCAAATCTGTTGTATCTGTTAGAAAAGGTTCTCTCGAAACA